ATTTTGTAAAACACAAAATTGATAAAATTTGTTCAAATCAAAATCTATATGACGTTTTTGAAACAAAAATCTGTGAGAGCATTTCCACCAATATTTACTAGGTCGAATGCCAGCAGACAACCATAGCTGTTTTTTTCAGTAGTGTTTGAATACGAAGACCCCAAAAATATACTTGAACAAAACACCGAAACACTGAGAAATGTGTTGATTTGACGTAATATAAATGCCCAACATGCATGCAAGATATAATAAGGTAATTAATACGTATATATATTATAGCTTAAAATCGAGGAACTGTGTCGTTTTGCTTGTTGTTTGGTTTAACAGTATTCAATGTGATACTGTCTGGTCAAGATAATTACTTTTCACAGAGGGTTGTTCAATGAAAAATGTTATATCTTATTAAACTAAACATTCAATATAATCAAGAAGATATTAAGAACACCATCAATACTGACCTTCACAGTTGACTGCCGCGAGAAGCTGGCATAATACTAATAACAATTTTGAACGCATTCGTGATTTGACCAACATGTTCAACACACTTTGTTCGTCAGAGTTAACGCTGTAACTGTTCTGTGTACAAACGCCGTGTCACAGTTATTCAATTGAGGGCGTAGAACATGGCTATCTGTTACGCTAAGTAATTCCTGTATCGCTCACTTATACTTAAAATTTGTAAATGTCGATTGGTTGCATATTTATAAAATAAGGTTATAGGATACAATGAACTCGGCAAGGCATTTAACGTTTCTTGAATTGTCTGTTCATTTCGATAGCTTCTTATCGACAATCGAAATAAATAGATCAAGGTGGCCGGTATTTTCTGTTGCTTGGAAATGCTATATTCCTATGATGACATGCGCCCTCTAACGGCACATGATTGTTTGATTGATTGACTCACTTCGAACTGTTTTAAATATATATTTGAAGCAATTATTGCAATTACCCGAAAGTTAGCTTGGCATGTCGCCCAAGTCAACGGAAGATCTTCTACCGGTAATATTAATCCAAAAAAGATATTTATATCGTCACGGTAACTGCAATAATAAGATTTATCATGATAGTCATTACGATATCGTTATGATAGCTGGATTAAAAAGATTTATCATGATAGTCATTACGATATCATTGTGATAGCTGGATTAATAAGATTTATCATGACAGTCGTAATGATATCGCCATGGTCGCCGGATTAATAAGATTTATCATGATAGTCTTTATGACATCGCCATGATAGCTGGATTAATAAGATTTATTATGATACTCGTTACAATATCGTCATGATAGCGTCATTGATAGGATTTATCAATGTAGTCGTTATGATATCGCTATGATAGCTAGATTAATAAGATTTATTATGACACTCGTTACAATATCGTCATTATAGCTTGATTAATATGATTTATCTTGACAGTCGTTATGATATCGCCATGATAAATTGATTAATAAGATTTATTATGATAGTCATTATGATAGCGCCATTATAGCTGGATTAATAAGATTTATCATGATAGTTGCTACGATATCGTCATGAGAGCTGGATTATCATGATATCTTGATAAATACGATGTATCCGATAGTTGTTACGATATTGTCATGATAGCAGGATAAATAAGATTTATCACGATAGTCATTACGATATCGCCATGATAGCTTGATTAATATCAGTAACCATGACAGTCATTACGATATCGTTATGCTCGCTGGATTTATAAGATTAATCATGATAGTTGTTATGATATTGCCATGATAACTGGATTAATAAGAATTATCATGTTAGTCGTTATGATAACGCCAAAATAGCTGGATTAATAAGATTTATCATGATAGTCGTTATGATATTGCCAAATGATAGCTGGATTAATAAGAATTATCATGATAGTCGTTATGATATCGCCATAAAAACTGGATTAATATGATTTATCGTGATAGTCGTTATGATATCGCCATGATAACTGGATTAATAAGATTTATCATGATAGTCGTTATTATATCGCCATAATAACTGGATTAATGAGATTTATCACGATATTCGCTATGATATCGCCATGATAACTGTATTAATGAGATTTATCGTGATAGTCGTTATGATATCGCGATGATAGCTGGATTAATAATATTTATCGTGATATTCGTTATGATATCGGCATGATAGCTGTGTTAATAAGAATTATCATGATAGTCGTTATGATATCGCCATGATAACTGTATTAATAAGCTTTATCATGTTAGTCGTTACGAAATCGCCATAATAGCTGTGTTAATAAGAATTATCATGATAGTCGTTATGATATCGCCATGATAACTGTATTAATAAGCTTTATCATGTTAGTCGTTACGAAATCGCCATAATAGCTGGATTAATAAGAATTATCATGATGGTCGTTATGATATCGCCATGATAACTGTATTAATAAGCTTTATCATGTTAGTCGTTACGAAATCGCCATAATAGCTGGATTAATAAGAATTATCATGATAGTCGTTATGATATCGCCATGATAACTTGATTAATAAGATTTATCATGATAGTCGTTATGATATCGCCATGATAACTGTATTAATAAGCTTTATCATGTTAGTCGTTACGATATCGCCATAATAGCTGGATTAATAAGAATTATCATGATAGTCGTTATGATATCGCCATGATAACTTGATTAATAAGATTTAAGGTGATAGGCGTTATGATATTTTCATGATAACTGGATTAATAATATTTATCATGTTAGTCATTACGATATCGTCGTGATAGCTGGATTAATAAGAATTATCATGATAGTCGTTATGATATTGCTATGATAGCTTGATTAATAGATTTATCGTGATAGTCGTTATGATATTGTCATGATAACTTGATTAATAGGATTTATCATTATATTCGTTATGATATTGTCATAATAACTGGATTAATGAGATTATCATGATTGTCGTTACGATATCGCTATGTTAGCTTGATTAATAAGTTTTACCATAATAGTACTTATGATATTGTCATGATAACTGGATTAATAAGAATTATCACGATAGTCGTTATAATATCGGCATGATAACTGGATTAATAAGATTTATCATGATAGTCGTTAGGATATCGTCATAATAGCTGGATTAATAAGAATTATCATGATAGTTGATATGATATTGCCATGATAACTGGATTAATAAGATTTATCATGATATTCGTTATGATATCGCCATAATAGCTGGATTAATCAGATTTATCATGATAGTCGTTATGATATCGCCATAATAGCTGGATTAATAAGATTTATCGTGATAGTCGTTATGATATCGCCATTATAGCTGGATTAATGAGATTCATCATGATTGTCGTTACGATATCGCTATGTTAGCTTGATTAATAAGATTTACCATGATAGTCGTTATGATATCGCCATGAAAACTGGATTAATATGATTTATCATGATAGTCGTTATGATATTGCCATGAAAACTGGATTAATAAGAATTATCATGATAGTCGTTATGATAT